AATTTATTTTAAAATATTAAATTTAATTTAAAATAAAAATGATATATTGAAATAATCAAAATATATATAAAAAAGCCTTTGTAAATACTTTTGTTTGAGAAAACTTCTATAAACATTTTCATCGAAAAATACTAGTTACAAATGTTCTTACTCAGTATATTCATTCTAATTTTTATATATATATGATATATTATATATAGAGGATTATTATGTATTTCTATAACATGTTTTAAGAAATGTTTTTTCTTTATTAATTTTTTAGTTAATGGTTTAGATACTTGTTAACGGAATCTTAATAAAATAATATAATATTACATACGTGTGTTACTTTTTTGGAAATTTCAAAGATGGCCCACAAGTTATAAAAATATAATCTTTCTCCTTTGAAAGTTTTTGAGGCCATGGTAACGCCACGTCTAATAGCGGGAAGATAACGAAGATGAAGAGGAAACGAATGCTCCTCTTACTCTCGAGGCTTAAAAGAGTAATAAAATAAAGTAATACAAAAAGATACTCAAAGTGGAAATAAAGGGAGAGGCTAACAGGATGCAAAGTACGGCAAAGTTTACTTTGGTTATTTTTCAAAAGATATTTCAATTTCATTATTAGTTTTTATTTGTGTGGGGGAGGTTTTGTTGGTTTTGTACTTTTGTTTTATTTTTTTATTGTGTGTTTTTTCTTTTTTTGATTTTCTTAATAAGAGAAATGTGGGGAATTTATGAGGCTGTGGAGCTTCAGTTTGCTTGTGTGTGCAACTAGAAAGTTTTTGTTGTGTGGTTCTGTGGTGAAGTTGGCCTAGCAGATACAGGAGATCCTCCTATGGTGACACTGGTACACCTCTCTCTCTCTCTCTCTCTCTGTCTTTCCATACATGTGTTTTTCTATCTGCCCATTTATTGGGTGGTGGGAAATTCTGATCAATTTGGATAAAGTTTGGTACTTTTGGAGGGTCTATGTTTGTTTTCCCAAGTGTTGGAGTTGTCTGAGATGAACTTGAGAAACCTTTAGCCTTTGGAGAAATACTGTTTTTTTATTTTATTTTTATTGGTTGGTTTGGTTTCCTCAATTTTAAATTTTCCCTTTTAAAAACTTTGCCTTTTTAATTATTTATTTATTTATTTAAAGGGTAGATTGCCTACTGAGGAATTTGTGAATTCATGTTGCTAACTTGACAGGAAGTTGTGATCGTCTTCAGTGTGGAAGGTTTGAAAGGTTGATCTTGATATTGGGGTCTTGGTGGTTTTTCTGGAGCCAATGAAATGAGTATGAGTTATAATGGTGATGGTGGAGGTGCAAGGGTGTGAGACAAGTTGGAGGAGTTCTCTAGTTTGTGGATGTGTTGTTGTTGTACTTGGTCTACATGCAACTCTAACTGGATAAAGATGGAGGGTTCTTCTGGGTCAGCTTTTCAGAATTCTAACAGTTCTAGGGCTTTGAATAGTTCTGGAGTCTCAGATAGGAACCAAAGGCTTCATTGTCCTGAAAGGAACCCCTTCTCGGGCGAGGCGTCGCAGGATTCGGGGTTTAAGAAGGAAAGGGATAGGGTTCTGTTGGCTCAAGGTGATCAAGCTAGACATCTGGGTGGGTTTTCTGGGTTGTGTGAGGATGGAGTGGAGGTTGACCCCTTTGTTTGTGCTGTAGAATGGGGTGATATTAGCTTGAGGCAATGGTTGGATAAGCCTGAAAGATCAGTAGATGCCTTTGAATGCTTGCACATTTTTAGGCAAATAGTGGAAATTGTTAGTGTGGCGCATTCTCAAGGAGTTGTAGTTCACAATGTGAGGCCTTCCTGCTTCGTCATGTCGTCTTTCAACCATATCTCGTTTATTGAATCGGCATCTTGTTCGGATACTGGCTCGGATTCTTTAGGAGAAGGGTTGAACAACCAAGGTGGTGGTGAGGTTAAAACTCCGATGTCTCACTGTCCCCGTGATATGCATCAGCAAAGCTTGGGAAGTGAAGATTTTATGCATGTCAAGACTTCAACAACCACTGCTCGGTCGGATTCTAGTTGCATGCTGTCAAGTGCTGTGTATGCGGCACGTGCATCGTTGATAGAAGAAACAGAAGAAAATAAAATGAAAGATAGGAGAAAGGATGAAGAAGTAGATGGAAAGAAGCAATCATTTCCAATGAAACAGATACTGCTAATGGAAATGAGTTGGTACACTAGTCCTGAAGAGGTTGCTGGTGAATCTAGTTCTTGTGCTTCAGACGTTTACCGATTGGGAGTTCTCCTTTTTGAGGTTCATAACAGAAATTTTACAATTCTTATGTTCATATATTTTAATAGGGTACTTTGATATACTTTATCTTCTTCACTTTGTTGTTACAATGGAAGATATAGTGTTGAAAGACCCTATTTGCATTTTGATGCACTCTAACTTGGTTATCTTACATGTTAACAGCTATTTTGTCCACTCAGCTCCAGAGAAGAAAAGAGTAGAACCATGTCTAGCCTTAGACACAGAGTTCTTCCTCCACAGTTACTTCTAAAGTGGCCTAAAGAAGCTTCATTTTGCTTATGGTTACTGCATCCTGACCCTAGTAGTCGTCCAACACTCGGGTAATTATCTTCATCACATGGTTCTTACTTTTCACTTTTTGCATATTACATATCCAAATTGTTTCTGACGTGTCCCAACTACTTTCCATGCCTAGTTTTCTTTTCCCTTTTTGTTTTTCCAATTCTTTAATTTAAGAGATGTTAAAATATTCTGATTCTGCTAATTGGCAATTTATTTCGAATAAGATCATTATAAGCTCTTTTTACGATGAATTACTGAGATTATACAAGCTTCAAGATGTCTGATTTACTTATCTCTTAGATACAAAGCCCCATTATAAAGTGTCTATTTTAGAAACTAATTAGACAGGTTCAACAAATAATATACGATAAACTTGAACAGTTTTTGTGGTAACTTCTGCGCTAATCTTGCCGTGTTGGATTGTATTAGTTTTGTTAGGAAGTTTTATATCTGATATTTATATTTTTTCTGAAGGTGGGAGATAGGTAATAAATCATTCGCCAATACCAACATGACAATATTGGATAACATTTGCTGACTTGTTGAAATATTTTAGGAATTTCTACCCTGAATAAGAGTTTTTAATATTTCTCTCTTTAAGCATTCATGGGAACTTGACTCTTTAATTGGATTTGGTGTTATTGAGAGTTAGCAAATTCTTGCACCATATGCTAAATGGATACATCTAGCGTTTGCAAAATTCAAACTTTTTTTTCCTTGTTCTTTGTGTTGGAAATATTTTGTGAAAAATATTGAAAAAATGGATTTTGCAGACAAATTGAAATTAAAATTGAAGATAGAAAATTATCATTAAAATTATTGTAATAACTCATAGAAGAGGATGCTTATGTATGTATCGGCTGACAATCAATTTGAAATTCTTAACAAATCTCATTTACTAACAACTCTACTTGTTAAGATTATATTGAATAATGTAAACAAAATATAAAAGATAAAACTGTAACAATAACAAATATCATCCTATCTAAAATTTATTAAAAATTTAAATAAAGAAAAATCTCATAAATCTAACACTCCTTGAGATTTTCCATGAATATCACAAACTTTAGTTTCATGAACTCCAAAACTTGATTTCTGAAGCGTCATGTCAGCAAGTTGTTGCACATCAATTTCTTGACTTAAATCATTATCATAGTCATTCAATTTAACTCCTCCTCCTGTCATATCAAATATATTTTGCATAAAAGTGTGATAAAATCTTCCATGTCAAACATTACTCATCAATTTTAATAATAAAATCATGATCTTCAACTAAATCAAATTTCAAATAAAAATTGCTTTGATCATCTCAATCTTTGCAATCCCTAAATCATGTTTATTCATGATTAAACAATAATTCTCTTTGAAAGAGACTTCATCATATCCATTCCTTAGTAGGGGTGGGTATGCGGACCGGTCCGGCCCGTTTAAGGCCCGGTCCGCGAAGTCCGCATTTTTAACGGGCCGGATAAATCCGGTCCGCTAAATAAATGGACTTAAATCTTCAAGTCCGTATCCGGCCCGTGAAGCCCGCGGATAAACGGATAAGTCCGCGGGCCCAATTAAATCTAAATTGTTTAAATGAATATTGACTCAGATTTTGAATTTCTTTTTCTTTATTTAACCTATGAAAACATGAGGAAAAAAAACATATAAAATGATATAAATATACTTCTAATAATAACATCAAACATTGTAAATAATAAATCAAAGTCTTAAATAACAAAATTTACACATTCTAAATTTCTAATAGAAATATTTAAGTCTCAATGCCTTTAAAATTTAAAGTCCAAGCATACCAACTATTAACCAAATATTAAAGCCTTACTACCTTAAAACTTTAAAAGTCTTAATACACAACCAAACAAATATAAAACATTTGTAAGTCCAAGTACATCAAAGTCTAAATACCTTAAAACATCAAAGTCTTAATTAATATCTTAAAAACAAACATAAAATATTTGTAAGTCCACATTTAAACGGGTAATCCGCGGGCTCGCGGATTAAATCCGCAAAATCCGCGGACTTAACGGGCCGAACCTAAAAAATCCGTATGATTATACGGATTAAAAAACATGGGCCCGTTATCCGTGAAGTCTGCGGACTTCCGGACCGGTCCGCGGACTCAAGTCCATATACCCACACCCCTATTCCTTAGCATTTGTGGAACACTTAAGAAGATTTTGATGCAATTCTGAAATGTAAAGAACATATTTGACAATTATCATACCTTTCTTGGTTGATATAGAAATTGTTCCTTTCTTTTCCATTGGCTTGCACAATTCCACCATATCCCATCTTGACTTTCAATTCAATTGATTTGTCAATAGAGGTAAAAAATGATGAACATTTAGTCATGTGACTAGTGCAAGCATTGTCATTGAGTCAAGTATTCAATTCATGTGAATTGAGTTCTTGAGATGCCATAATAAATACTCATCTTCGTCATCATTTTTTACTTCAATCACATTTGCCAGTTTTTCTAGTTGTTGTACTTTAATACTTTTCACTGCGACCATTTTTATTGCAAAAATTATAGTGAAAAAGAGGTTTATCTTTAAACCAACAATCTTCTTCAGCATAGTTGGTTCTTTGGTAATGAAAACAAGGCAAAAAATTTCCTTTTCTCGAAGTACCTTCAACTTTTCCTTTGTTATTGTTGAAAGTTCGTCACTTTTCGAAATTCCTTCCATTGTGTTTTGCTTGAAAGGCACCTTCAATAGCTTCATAACTTCTAGTTGAGATTTTTTGCTCTTGTGCGTGAAGCTTGCTGGTTAATTAAGTAATTGTAAGAGTTTGCAAATTACAAGACTCTTCAATTGCAGAAATCTTGACTTCAAATCTTTCAGGCAAAGCCATGATTTTTTCAACAACCTTTTGATATATAAATGATGTTTCACTTGCATTTGGTTCGCATCTTCCATTAACTTGTCAAAATAATCTTTGACAAATTCATTATCCTTCTCTTCATCAATTCAAATTCTCTTTTCAATGTGAGAAGTCTAGCAGAATTCATCTTGAATGTTGTCCCACACTTGTTTAGGTGTTTCCAAATTTATGATTTTAGTAAAAATATGATTTGCAAGTCTTGTATGCAGACAAGTGATGACTTTATCTTTCTTCAACTTCTTTTCCTCATAAGTTTTGATTTGTGCAATGGTTAGATTTTCTCTCAATGCTAATGCCTTCAAATTCATCTTGAATGTTGTCCCACACTTGTTTAGGTGTTTCCAAGTTTATGATTTTAGTAAAAATATGATTTGCAAGTCTTGTATGCAGACAAATGATGACTTTATCTTTCTTCAACTTCTTTTCCTCATAAGTTTTGATTTGTGCAATGGTTAGATTTTCTCTCAATGCTAATGGATCAACTTCAAAAATTACAATGTTTCATAACTTTGAGATCTTAAAACAAATTTCATCCTTGACAACCCTATACGATAATTTTCACCATTAAACATTGGAATTGCGGATGAATTGGCGAAAGTAGACATCCTTGCAAAATTGCTTGAACAATAAATCACTCAATTTAGCACTCAACCTCATTGTGTTTAGTGCTTAATAAAAAAATTTCTCACAATCCATAGGAAGCAAGCTCTTGATACCACTGTTGAAAATATTTTGTGAAAACTATAGAAAAATTGGATCTTGCAGACAAATTATAATTAAAATTGAAGTTAGAAAATTATCATTAAAATTACTATAATAATTCATAGAAGAGGATGTTTATGTATAGACTTACAATCAATTTAAAATTCCTAACAAATCTCATCTATTAACAACTCAACTTGTTGAGATTATATTGAATAACTGAAAACAAAATATAAAAGATAAAATTGTAACAATAACGAGTATCTTGTCTAAAATTTATTCAAAATTTAAAATTTAAATAAAGGAAAATCTCATAAATCTAACACTTTGTTATGAGTCATAAATTTCTAAATTTTTTCAACTGAGCAGCTTCCGTAGACTTTGTTATATGATATAGTATCTAACAATCAAGTGCCTGATTGATCAATCCATTTTTGTTAATGTTAACAATTTAACATTGCACAGATTTTTTTAAACCATTTGTTTACTTGTGTAGGGAGTTGTTGCAAAGCGAGTTCCTTAATGAACAGAGAGATGATATGGAAGAACGTGAAGCAGCGATAGAGCTGAGACAAAGGATAGAGGATCAGGAGTTGCTTTTAGAATTCCTTTTATTACTTCAACAGAGAAAACAGGAAGTTGCTGAGAAGTTGCAACACACTATCTCTTTTCTGTGTTCAGATATTGAAGAAGTGACCAAGCAGCAAACTAGATTTAAAGAGATTACTGGTGCTGAACCAGGGAGTGACGATCGATCAGCATCAAGTTTCCCATCAGTGACAGTTGTTGACAGTGAGGATTATGCTTATCTAGGGACTAGAAAACGAGTCAGACTAGGGATGCATGTTAAAGACATTGAGGAATGTGATGATGACGTAGGGGATAATCAAAGAAGTAACGAAAGTCTTCTTTCAAAAAGTTCACGGCTAATGAAGAACTTTAAGAAACTTGAGTCAGCATACTTTTTAACGCGATGTAGACCAGCCTATTCCTCTGGGAAACTGATGGTGAGACATCCTCCTGTAACAAGTGATGGTAGAGGCTCTGTTGTGAGTGAAAGAAGTTGCATCAATGACTTGAAATCAAAAGAGCAGTGTAGGGAGGGTGCAAGTGCTTGGATAAACCCTTTTCTTGAGGGTTTGTGCAAGTATTTATCATTCAGTAAGCTAAGGGTTAAGGCTGATCTAAAGCAAGGAGATCTCTTGCATTCTTCCAACCTAGTATGCTCACTCAGTTTTGATCGCGACGGAGAATTTTTTGCTACCGCCGGAGTGAATAAGAAAATTAAAGTGTTTGAATGCGATGCGATCATAAATGAGGATCGTGACATCCACTATCCAGTTGTGGAGATGGGTAGCAGGTCAAAGTTAAGCAGTATTTGTTGGAATACATACATCAAGAGTCAAATTGCTTCAAGTAACTTTGAAGGTGTTGTGCAGGTAAGAACATGTTTTGATACAAGTTTAGAAGAGTTTTCAAGAGCTTGTCTATGAAAAAATACAGTAAAGAGGCTTTGAAAAGTCCTTCTAAATTGTATTCAAATAGACTCTAAGTCAACTGTCATCAATAAATTGTTTATGGCATGCATAACAATATTGTAACTTCTCTAATTCAGTTATGGGATGTGACAAGAAGTCAAGTACTCTCTGAAATGAGGGAGCATGAGCGGCGGGTGTGGTCCATCGATTACTCGTCAGCAGACCCTACAATGTTGGCAAGTGGGAGCGATGATGGTTCTGTCAAGCTATGGAGTATCAATCAGGCAATTCCATTTTTGCACTTGGTGGATGTCAGCTTTGAAACTAAACGTACTGCAGTCATCTGTTGCATGTTTTATGTATATTATGCTGGATGTGTAATGAGTTGTTTCTCTCACCTGGGATGTTTCTGCAGGGAGTTAGTGTTGGTACCATCAAAACCAAGGCAAATGTGTGCTGTGTTCAGTTCCCTGTGGATTCTGCTCGTTTCCTTGCATTTGGTTCGGCGGATCACCGAATATATTACTATGATCTTCGCAACCTAAAAATGCCACTTTGTACTTTAGTTGGACATAACAAGACTGTCAGCGACATCAAGTTTGTAGACACTGTGAACCTTGTCTCTGCATCCACAGATAACACTTTAAAGCTTTGGGATTTGTCTACATGTGCATCTCGAGTTATAGACTCACCGATTCAATCATTCACAGGTCACATGAATGTAAAGGTACATCTGTTGACAACAGTAACTTGTGTCTTGCTTACACATGAGTTTTCTGTTATATTTTCCCAAGGGTTTATCTTATTATGGTCATTCATAGTTTCATCATATTAAGTGGACAAATATCAAGCCCCTAAAATCACCTTAAAAGAAGGCAACAATCACTTGAACAATATTTCCCATTAGAAGATAACTTTTAGCCGATTCAACTTCCATCTCAATTAACCATTATTTGTTTCACTAAAGGCTTTCAAATCCAACCTAGATTTGATGAAGACCTCAATCAGTCTTCTGTGTATTTTATCATGTTAGGTCTTGTTTGGTTAGTGTGGACCTAAGTTGTTCCTTTTAAAAACGTTTGATGACCTGATGAGGGAACAAACTTATTGAGCAAAAACTGCTGAAGGATTGATATACCTTTTATGATTTTTATTATGTTTTGACTGGAGGTTATTGACTTTTCATTGTTGATTCTTTCTTTTTGTGATTGAGTTACTCAGTTTGCTATGAATTTTTTGAGCCTTTGTTCTAATAGTAACTATCAATTACTTTAAGGTCTAGCATTCCACAAATGCTTGCTGTATATTATTCAAGAATCTGGATTTGGATCTATAGTAAATATTTGCAAGAGTACCATTGGCTGTTTCTTTCTGTGTTAATAGCCACTAAGATATTAGAACTTTTGCATTAATCCTTGTTCATTGAGTAGCATATCTTGTTATTGTTTGAGATCCATACCCTTTACATGAGAATTATATTCAAAGATAGGGTCATTGACTCATTAATTATCAATTTCTATACATTTTTCTACAAGTCACTTTTTCAATTTTGAGGTATCATACATTATCCTGCTGATGCATCTTCCTTTTGTTACAGAACTTTGTGGGATTATCAGTATCTGATGGTTACATTGCTACTGGTTCAGAGACTAATGAGGTACCTTCATATCTCCTTCTCTATCAGTTTTCCAATTTATATTAATTTTACAGTACTACTGAAGGTAACCTTGTGTGTGGATTAGGTGTTCATATACCACAAAGCCTTCCCCATGCCAGCATTGTCATTCAAGTTTCAGAACACAGACCCTCTTTCTGGTAATGATGTGGATGATGCTGCGCAGTTCGTTTCGTCTGTTTGTTGGCGTGGCCAGTCATCTACCTTGCTTGCTGCAAATTCCACAGGGAATGTCAAGATTCTGGAGATGGTTTAAGTTGTTGGCCTACAAATGATACATAGTTTGCTGAGCATGAGGTGACAGAACTGTTGTTTAAGATTGGCTTCTGTTGCCACTGAATGCTATACAGAGGGGTATATAGATTCCTTGATTATTATTACTTGCAAGTTGTAACATAACAAATTTTTTGCATTAGTAGTTCATAGCGGAAGCAGTTAAAGAGAAGAGTGAGATTGATCTCGTGGAAAACAAAAAAAGGTCCTGTAGATAGTGTCACATGGAAAAAAGTGAAGGTCAAAATCTATATCATATCAGATTTTATTACGGTTATGATCCATATTCAATTTCATAGATAAATTCACCCAGTGGAAGCTACTCTGTGTAGAATTTGATAATGCCTACAGATACAAATCTATTGCATTTAAAAAATAAAAAATAAAAACTATTGTTTTTTATGTGCTATGTTTTTGCAAGCCTTGCCCTTGATGAATTGAATGTTCAGTGCCATGTAGAACGTGACATGTTGAATGTTTTCAATTATGCTCAGTTGTGGCATATCAAATGACCAATTTATCTTGACCATAGATTGTGGATGGGTATTTTTTCAAAAATATTATTGCATAAATTGGTAATTTTAAATGGATATATTTATATTTTCTCCTTTGACTTTTATACTAGAGAACTAGTTCTTTTTCCTTTGTAAATAGGGTTTGTAATTTTTATGTAATATGTTGACATTGTGGGAATTTACATATCGAGGGAGCAAAATGAGATATTAGAGATTGTATATTTTGAAAATTATAGGAACTTTATGATGTGTTAGATATGTAATGATGCAATAGATGTGTTACAAAACATAAAGCCCTAACTTTTACTAATATTGTTATGGAACAATTATCACAAGACCCATATAAATCTATAAAGCCTTATCTTTAAACTCACTTTGTACCAACTTGGGGCACTGTTATGGAGAAGTATCCCAAGTCAAAATTTGTAGTAGAAATATCCTTTTCCAACTTTTTTTAATCTATAAGAATCAAATTCGATATCATGGCGTTTATTACGACTCAAATACATTGATCAATCAATTAGAGTTAATTTTTATTGACGTGATTTAGTCTAGTATATGGTACAAACAAATTACCAAGCATACCTTAAGAAAAACTTATCAAGAAAATTGAAAATCAATTGACCAGAGATCACGATGCTATTTTTTTCTTAAAAAATTAAAAAAATCAACTTAAGCTATTTATTATCATTTTTTTATTCATAAATTTTATTATTGTTAATAAATATTGTTTTATATTGTTAAAACTTAAAACTTAAGTAATATGCTATATCTGATCTCAACTTTTATGTTCAAATTAAGAAACTTTATAAAATAATGTTTTATTTTTAGTGTTTATAGTTATAATATTATTATTTTAAATATTAACTTATATTATTTAATTTTATTAATACCATTTTAAGTATAGTTGAACTATTAACTTTAAATTAGTAATTTGTTCAGTCCAATGGCCAATTGGGTTTTAAAAACATCACTAATAATCCATATAAACAAGAATATATATATATATATATAACTACCTCAAACCTTAAAAAGTTGGCTTTTCGATTCGAAGAAAAAGAGTGATATCAAGCCCACGAGACAGAGACCAGAGATGAGCATACATAGTCATATGTACAATGTGATTATCTTTATCTCTGTAGACTAAGGTGTTTGAAATGTCAGTGATGGACTAAACCTTAGTGAGTATTGTAAACCTATGTATCCTCTCCATGAGAGTAACCCAAACACTCAGACACTTATCTCTGTAAAACTAAGGTAGCAAACCTTAGCGAGTGTAGGAAATTCCCAATCCTCTCTGTGAGAGTTATGTATCATATATATATATATATATATGAAAAATTAAAAAATTAACCATATTATTAATGTCAAGTATAAATCGAGTTCAATTCTACTTATTGTTGGTTTGAACGATTTAAAATATAAATTGCACCAATGTTCTTGCAATATTGGTAGAAAATTGGTTGAAGCTAGTGTTGCATTCAAGTTTAGGGTAGTTATACTACTTACATCGGCTAAAGTAGTATTGTTTTTCTTGCAACGTTGTACAGTGAGAGGATCAAACATATTCCCATAAACTACTTGAAGGAGCATTAGTAGCATTTATTAAACTGCATCAAAATTTCATTCATATTGACCAAAAAGCAAAGTCAAATTCATTACAATTGATCTACTATTCCAACTTGCGGGGAGACGAAATCAATTTTGTTTCTTCCCATTACCGTCTTTGGCACGCGATTTCCACAATAAACCCAACACAAGAATCAAATTAAAGACTTTTCTTTTTATGTCAGAAATCAAACTTTAAGTCTAAAACACGTGTTTTTCTATGCTGTAATAAGAAACCTTATTTCCATGATGCACCAGAATTATAAGCAAAGAGAATGAACAAGTTTGTGCTTGTTACCTAATACCTACCTCCTTCGGCCACCAAATCTTTTCCAAATTGATGAAACAAATCTTAACAAGTCATTGATAGAAAGGAAATAACAAAATTTTACGTTCGACTCTTGTAAATAATAAAAAATATATAATTGGAAAATAAAACTTCACCAAAAATAACTGTATAGTAAAAATTAATTAATACTTCATACATCAACATGAAGACCCAAACTTAAGCTTTCTAGACTACATTGAAACCCAAGACCAATTAAAATATTGTAATTACAGTTTAATTTTAATACTATGAGTGTCAATTAATTAGAATCACCATAAATATGATTTTTAAAATAATATTTACATTAGTCAACATATTTCTTTGTTGTCAATCGAAGGAAGCTTGAATGCTTCTAAAGGAGAATCTCTCGGTTGTGATTCACTAGATTGTTCATCATGGACAACCATTACCACTAAGCTAGAGAAAACTAACAAATATACGAATCCAGATATGTATACTCCACTGAAATATTGATCATGACAAATAAATATCTAGCAGAAATTTTGGCTGATTGAGCCTAAAATTTAATTGTCCAACTTCTGTTAAAAAACATAAACAAAACTGATAAAATTCCGGGACATTAAGATGCTGCTAAAAAATTGTGTTACCTCTACATGAAAAGAACCTACAAAAAGAAACATGACCCTCATGCCATCTTTGGTACTTCACATAGAGGCAACTAACTACGGCTAAGTTAACAGATATCTAGGATTGGTTTTCTGTATTATGAATGAAGTGCAATTGCATTCTAACCTCAAAAATTTGTCTGGTGCTGGAATACCAATGTATCTGGTTATAAAAACAACCTTCATCTATCCAACTCTTCCATCTCCAACCACAAAACTTCCCAACAACAGGACCTATGTACACTGATCCTCACCAGATTTAGCCTTCAACGTTAAGCTGGCAACGAGGCGATGAAGCCTTTGAGCTCCTGGACCAGGTTTGAGTTTATAAATGTTTCCAATCTCGGAACATTTTGGTTTGCCAGTGCACCAACCACCTAACGGGAATAGTCCATTTCTCCTTCTGAGGATTTTTTTATCAAGAAAATCCAAGGCTGCATCATCTTGTTGAAACTTTCTTGCAAAGGCAGCACCACTTTCAACCATTTTGTCTGTGTCATTGATGTTAAGGACATGAGGGTGCTGCTTAGGAGGGTTGTCCCATGCAATATAATGCAAGTCAGTGTTGACAAGGGTTTTGGCTAACTCTGGCACATTGCATGCAACAGTTTGAAAGTAGCCTTCAGGGGAAGACAGAAAATTTGTGTAGTACATGAGAAGGGTCCTTGGCAGATTATCCCATCCCCAAACAATATATTCAACAAAGTCATGTGATAAAACCATCCATGCAGAACCTGCAATGTAGGTACAACGATTCAACTCAACAATCTTTGGAAAGCAGAGTTAATAAGAATGAAATTGGGGAAATGATGGTAAGCCAGAAAGGGAAATTATTTGATTTATGCTAAACATTTTTTTAGTCTAAAAGCCCAAAAGGAAAATGTTTCATGAAAAAAGAACATTTCACTGATTCTAAGAACATAAAGATTTTGAAAATACACGTGCATGTATTTTAGTTATGCCCTAAGAAGCTATGTACTACGAGAAAATTAAATGAACCAGATAACTTATTGAGATATCAGAACCAAGGTGATATTATCTTATCAACAACCCAGAAAAAGTAGTGTCTAGTCTCTACAAGTGCAACATATATCTGGTTTCATTCTCTTAGACTATACCATTCTTCTCCAAATTTGAATAGAGTCTTTAGAAAAGTGATAATGACAAAGAAATAAACGTATGAAGGGGGAAACTAACCAGTGAATAGTTTAAATGCTGTTGGCAGAGCTCTCTTAGGATTGACCCAATATACATCAGATTTGGTTGACAAATAAAGCCCGGGGTCTACAATTAAAGGCATTGCTCGTTTATCACTGCGTAATGTTCAATTCATTCATCATTATGTACAAATCAAGGTTTCATGTCATTGGGGAGGGGACAATTCATTATTTATATGTCAAGGCTGCTTAAAGATCAAGTGAAAAAAGAGAAGAAAAAACTTACAACTTCCACCCTAACCGACTTGTGTGCTCAATGAAGTTAAGGTTTCTATCTAAATCTGCAAAGGTATATATCAGATCTGCACAATTATAAACTCGTATTAGTCTAACAATCATTGCAATGTGAAAAAGTTAGAATAAGAACAAATACTAAAAGATACAATCATATAGGACAATAAACTAACTAACCATCCTGAGTCACAAGAGGATAGTCTGAAGCACTAAGGTTAATAAACCAGTCCCAGTCTTTACTTCTCTTGAGCAGAATGGCACAAGCATGAAGAGTATTAGCAACCATCGTTGGCCCTCGGTAAGTGACCATGTTAGCCTTTGTGATTACATAAACATTTCCAACCTCGGCAAAGACATGTTGTCTCTCAATTCTATGTGCAATCTCCATCCTTTCCTCAAGCGGCGCCTCCAGGTCCATATGAACAACATAATGGTTTAAAGGATGGTAAAGTGCATGAAGGGTCCTCCAAAGCTTTTCCAAGTCACCTTTGGAGCCGGAAATCAAGTAAGCAAAGCGAGGAATTGAAGGCTTAGCCTTAGCCGGCGCCGGCGCAGGAGAAGCCTTCTTCTCAACGAAAACGGAGGCAGATTGGTTTGTGCGCAAATGAGATGGGAGAAAGAAAAATAGGGAATTGATGGAGTGAATTGAGGAGACAAGACCCATGTTGAAGGATGTTACTAGAAAGAGCATGCCCACAGCAGAACACACGATGAAAGGATATATCCATTTCTTCTCTATGTTTATGAACCCCATAACTGAGAACTATCATGGATAATAACCCTTCACATTCTAGATTCCATCAAATACTGAAACATAAATTGATTGCCAATTCTCCATCAAACAGCCACTACAACACACACATAAATGGCACCCTCTTCGTATATCTTCTCAACAATCTCTTCCTTTGAATGGTTTCTGTTGCATCAAACCAAAATCAAATGCTATATTCAAGAAATTTTATAGTTATCACCTGGGAATATATCAACTATTTAATCAATAGAGGAATCCTACAGTTTCGTAATCAAACGGTTTTACCATAAATAAACAAATCCATTAATTAAATGACCAAAACTAGAATATACGCATGTCTGGTAAAACGATACAAACCGAGCATCAAAAGAATCGAAAAGAAAGTGACCAAAGAATATTAAAAGCATTAAACAACAACAGATTTTGTTCTTGACAATGGCGAGCTAAGAAGAAAAGAAGGGAATTTTTTTTATTTTTAACAAATGGTGGAACGAAACTGATTAATCATCCTATAAACAACGATCTAAAACCAATCGTTGAATTGTCTTGGATTAAATCAAGGCAGATTTTAGCTCAAACATGGTCTATAAATTTCATCTGTAACTCTTCTTTTAAAAATATTAAAAGAATATGATCATCAAAATAGGATAAAAAATTATATATCCGAACCCAGATAAAAAAATTCATTAATTAAAATTTCTATAACCCACGAAACAGCAGAAACATGCAAAAATAGATAAACAAAACGTGCATGAGCTGAAAGATAAGCTTAACTGAAATAAGGAAAGATTAAAGAAAAAAAACGTTAAGCGTTATATTAATGAGAATTATGCAGATTAAGTGTAGAGATAAAGAGGAGGAACAAACCAAATTGTGATGCAGGAGCTGTCCACATCTAAGAATGACATGAGAGAGAAAGGATCTAAGGTTGAATGAACACACTCATATCATATATTGAACAAGAGAAAGGAGTTTCTTTACTTATATATTGTAACTTGTAAGGTCTACGTTTCTTTGTAAGTGCTTCAATCTACGTGTCACACGAAGCGGTTCCATTTCTATAGTATAATCAATTTAGTTTAGAATAATGTTGTATTGGCTAGTGTAGTAGTAGTTGCTAATTGTTAGTTTTGTTATTGGATGTAAATTTTTAAGTTATGCATAATTAATGCTTTTACTTTTTTTAAAAGTAGTTTATATATTCATTTTATTTAATCCATAATTATGCTTTTTTAAAAGTAGTTAATATATTGATTTTATTTACCATCAAACAAATATATTCATTTTTTTCAATCCATAATTAATTTTTCACTTTTTAGAAGTAGTTACATAAATATATTTATTTTATTTACTGTCAAAAAATATATATTCATTTTATTATTATTATTATTATTATTATTATTATTATTATTATTGTTATTATATATATATATAAGCAATCTTTCTTCCATGGCTGGCTACTGGCTAGCCGTCTAGAGTATTGTGTGATTTTATTCATGAAAGGTACTAATATTGCTTAATATATGCTGAGTTTGCATGTAGGATCATAATGATTAACGTACTGATATCTTTTAATGGATATTATGAATATCTATAAAAATTATAAATTTATATATACAGTAAATAATGATATGAATATTAAAATTATTATTTTTATGAATGTAAATTAATAATCATTAGAACGGTCTAGTAGTGAGATTAGTCATATATTCTAACATGGATAATCATATATTCTAACTTTTAACTCTTAATCTTAGTATTACCATTGTAAAAAAAAATAGTAATATTTTTTAAAATATGGTTATTAAAATGGTATCTTATTTAAACATGTACCAAAAAATATATATTCTATTTAAACACTACATGTTATTGTAAGATATCATAATTTATTGAGAAAAATAAATAAATATTTATTTAATAAACTTTTATCATACCAAACCAGCTGCTATAAATTTGATCCTAAACTTATTAACATAAATTAAGAAATATCTTAATAAAATTTACTAAAAACTTATTTAAACAAATAAAAGTATATAAATTATTTGTACAAGTTCATATATAATTTCTATAAAATCCTCTAAAACACTCTACACTTGGAATTTACATTTCATTAAAATTTGCAAATGATTAATTTTAAGAAATAATTTTTTGTTTTCTTTTATTTTTGTAGAAAAGTTAACTAAATAATTAGTTTCGTCAAAATAAATCAATAACGCGTACTTTATTGAATGAACACAAATTTGTTTGGTGTTATGTGATGATTGGACTCATTTTTCATGTTTATCTGTATCAACTGATAATTACGTGAAAGAAAGATGTTCTTCCAAATAAAAGCATTTGTTGAATGAAGTTGACAATGCAGACAAATGGCTCACAATAATGACAAATGAGAAAGGTTACCATTTAGCAATATATATTCTGTTCTCACTGTACATAAGAAATTGGGTTAATTCGTTTTTTTCTTTACCTATGCATGAGAAATAGTTACCGCTTTTATGGATAATTAATTTTTATTACTAAGTAATTTGTTTGATTATTTTTAGTGAAATATTTTCTTTTTTATCCTTAAGTCTCAAATTTGTGATATTATTTAAGAGAATCGAACTTAGTAATGTGAAATCACTTGATCCAACAATTTGTTTGTGACCTAGTTCAATTTGCCTCAACTTAGTCAATTGAAAAGAATTAGCTTAAATTAATATGTTGAAATTAAAAACGTCTAAAAATTGACTTACTAAATAAATAAATAAAATATAAATTATTTAAACACAAAATGTCGAAATTATAAAAATATTATGTTATTAAATCATCTTAACATTAATGTTTTTCATTGGTTACCACCACGAGTTAAATAAATATTGCATATCATAAAATCTAGTTCATAGAAACATTTTACTAAAACAAAAATTTATAATAAATAGATGTAATTGTCTCTATAGTGATTTCGAATGTGTGTATAATAAAAAGTCAGTAATGAATACAAAAGATAATATAACTCGCGTGTACTTCCTTTAACTTTTAAGTTAATATAAATAGATTAAAAAAACATTTAATAGATATACTTTTGAACCTTTTATTATCTAATTTTCATTACCTTGTTTTCATAAAGATGAACAATTAGTGGGGAAAAAATTATAAATTGGAGTATATAGTTGACAAAAGAAAAATTAATTAGATTTAAATTAAATTTCAATTGTTTTTTTTTTTGGGGGGGGGGAATTAAAAATTAGTAGATAACATAATTTACACACGTATCTCTGCTTTTGCTGTCAAGGTTTGAATAAAAAAAGTAAAAATAAAATAAATAAAATAACATGGCAGATTGGTGTAATTGAAGGAATAATTAACAAAGAAAAGCAGAAAGATATAATAAAAGAATAAACACTAATAAAAAAATAATGAATGTTATAGGAAAATAAATATATTAAATTACCAATAATTTCTATTAAATTTTTGTTGTTAATGATAAAGCTTTGTAGAAGAGACAACAATTCAATTAAGAAAAAAATACCGAAAATTGGAGGTGTACGTGCAAAAGTATCATACCTGTTAGTAATATGCCAACAAAGATAATGCTCAATGGTTTAACACTTGATTTCTTCAGCCTTTTAACCAAAATTTATAATGAAAACGATTAGAAATGAATATTAAGAAAAAAGAAAAAAAAAATATGTTCATCTATAGGATGCATAACCACACATACATGCATGCATTTAAGAACAAAAACACCAACAACATGAAAAGATATAACAGATCAGAAAATACATTAGTCTAGCATTTATTATTCTAAAATCACTGGTCGCTTCACTAAACCTTTGCTTTATAGAATAACACAAACTTACCTTGTCTTGTGAAATTTCGACAATGATTTATGCATGTTGAAGGTGCTGTGAGAAAATTCTTTTATCTTTCATTAAGGCAGCAAATTCATATAAAGGACACATGGCTCAAATTTCTTCAGAATGTTCTATTTCATTACACAGAACTAAGTACAATACATTCTTACCTGCAAATTTGTATTGCTGTTCATCAAATGCACAAAATATAATACATTCTTTTATAACCCTACCTACGGTCATTAAATGTTGAAATCATAAAATTATATCGGTCATAATTTCCTTAATTACTATATTTGTGTATTACGAGATATATATATATATATATTAGCATTATCAATTAATTTGAACTATAATATATTTTTGTATTATTAGTTTGAATGTTAAAATCGTAAAAATCATATATTATGCTAATTATAATTTCCTTAATTATGTATTAAAATATATATTAGTACGATCAATATATTAACATCATTGATTAATTTGAATTAGAGTATATATTTGTATTATTATTTTCAATGTTAAAATCCTAAGATTCATATTGAACATAATTTTTTTGTTAATTATGTATTGGATGTAGAACAATATTAGTAATATCAATTAGGGTCGTTTGATTAAAAAAATGAGTTAGAAATTTGGTTTGTTTGTTTGAGAAGAGAAGAATAGAGATAATGTCTTTTTTTAGTTCATAAGGAGATCGAGAGAAATTTTAAAAGATAATTTACTTTTATATTTTTATAATTTTGAATTGAATTACATAAATATGAATATTTTGTATATTATATTAAAAAAAATTGTATATTATATTAAAAATGTTTTAAAATATCTTCCTTTTTCCTCAAATCTTTCCAATATTAGAGGAAAACTAAAATTGAATTAGGAGAGATTTTACTCCCCCAACTTCCTAAAAATTAAACCAAACAAATATTTTACATGAAAAATTCTTGCTATTTTTATTTAAATTTGTTAAATATAGAATGAATATGTATATAAGTGTTACCAATTAATTCGAATGAAAATATACAATTGTATTGTTAATTAGAATTTCTAGATCATGATTGATTACCATAATTAAATATTTCATTAAAACAGAATCACTTAATTGCAATAATTATATATTTTAAGAATTATAGAAATAAAATAATATAATGCAACGAGATTTTGCAGAAAAATAATCATGTTGTTGCTACATTATATCTACCTAAATAGATAAATAATATAATTGTTTAATAGTTTTTGAATATATATATATATATTAAAAAAAATTAAAGTATAATAATTGATTTATTATATAAAAATAAAATACATATTAATTTAATGATTTAAATTAATTTAATTATTTAATTAGAATATATATATATATATGATTTCTGTAAAATTATTTATTATTATAATTAAATATAAACATGTATTTTATGAATTAAAATAAAATAAAACAAATTAAAGATCAATTAAATTTAAGGAGAAAAAGTTAATAGAATGTTGCTACTTGGCATGTCTATATAGCAAAATCTTGTTTTATAATAGATAATAGAGTTTTTGGGTAACCACACATTCACGGTCAAAAGTAATAAGCATATAATATAATTTATTTTATATCTAAAGTCAGATTCAAATTTTAGATAACTTAATTAAGTGACTAAATTTATTATCACGTGTGTCAACTAATTTTAATGATAATAGATAATAAATTTTATCAAAAAAAATTAGTCTTAAAATATTGAACATATATTTTACTCAAGTAAAATTATTTTATGTAAAAAAAATCTGGAATCCTAAATTAATAAAATTATTGTATTCTTGGCATTCTCTCATAATCTTTTTAAATTACTCTTAAAAAAGGAGTGAAGTCTATATTATTTGAATAAATTATATATTTAAAAAATGTTAAAAATTAAAAATATTATTAATATTCCTTATTGGATTTAAAAAAAAAAAAAAAAAAACTGCAATGACAGTTTGAGGAAAAAAGGTATGTTATGAATAGGATGATAACATTGTGTAAAGAGTTAGCACAATCCTAATCCTAATCCTAATGAAATCAGCCAATCAAAGTGCTTATAATCTTAATGTGCACCTCACTGTTAAAAATGGACCTACGTTGTT